ACTTGTAGTTTGGCGACAGGACTTTGTATTTCCGACACCTCGTGAACGCAACATGAGAATGCAATACTTGCTGGGGATGGGCACCCATGGCCGCCCCCTGCGTAGGTAAGTAGCTATGTCCTATCCATGGGAACGTGGATGGTAATCCTTTGGGAAGCACAGATGGGCCGAATTGCATTAAAGTAGTTCCCCCCCCCAAAGGGCTTGAAGTAATCCCCTGCCACCGGCCCTTTAAGGTCCTCCAGCTGTTGCGATACTACAAGTCCCATCATGCCTCTTCCTTTGGAAGTCATGCTTGTAACTGTCAATCTTGCAATGCCTCATGGGACTTGTAGTTTGGCAACAGCTGGAGGGCCACCAGTTTGACACCCGTGCTGTAGGAGATCTTGTATAGAACGGTAGTCAATAAATATTCCTAAAGGGAGTGCATATTATTGGTTGCTGGACATTAAAGGACGGCGCAGGCCGGGTCAAGCTTTGATGCTTTAGGTAACAATAATAATTGGGTCTCTGGAGTGGTCACTCTTCCTGGTGGACGCAGGGAAGGGAAGCAGAGGACACGGATGACTCTGGCAGCCATTTTTACTCTGTACGATTCATTTTTCTTTCTTTGTACAGGCCATCAGGATGCCGACTTACATCGTCCAATCATATCTTTACTGGAAGTTGGGAAAGCCGGACATCACCCTCCACGCCTTCCCTAGTAGTGCCTGGCGTATAAGGAGCTGGTTGGAGAGGACGGGGCACAGATGTAAGGACATAGACGCCTTTATCGGAAGAATATTGGAGACGAGGAAAGAAGGGGGCTATCGAATATGCGTCGCACACTTTGCCAAGGACAGTTATATGTTCTTGGGTGACGCCAGGGTGTGTTGAAGGCGGACGCCATGCCCACCATCTTCCCTGCGGGCTGCAAGCTAATCCCGTAAAGCCTCCCGTCTGAGGACCACTGGAAAGACGCACCTAGCCTGCCAGAGGAACATGGCCAAGCCACTGAAGCCCAGCTCAACCAGTACCATGATGGCTTCAGTTTTGACTAAGGCAGATGCAGACACGCAAACAGAGGCTGGCCCCTCTACTGCGCATAGAACCATACAGATTGAGCAGCTGTTTTCTCATGAGGACCAGAGTGACAGCACTCAAGAACAACAGTGTACGTACTGAGAAAAACCCACCTGTTCCATTTGTGGAGCTGTTATTTGTATTACCTCGGAGTAGTGGTGGTCAACTTGAAAGTTATACAGGGCCTCAAGTGTGGCCCCCAACACTTCCAACACTTACACAGTTGTAGTGCCTTTTCTTTTGTTGAAGTGCATTGCATGACATTAGGCAGCCCATTCAACATTAATGTGCTGTAACCCCCTTTTTTTTTCACTGGTGGTCAGTCATAGTTCTATTTATCAACCCCCACCTCAGATTGGTTGTCCACTGGAAACTGTGGGCCTCAGATTGGTTATCCACAGGAAACTATGTGGTCCCCAGATTTGTTGTCCACTGGAAACTATGTGGTCCTCAGATTGGTTGTCCACTGGAATCTATGTGGTCCTCAGATTGGTTGTCCACTGGAATCTATGTGATCCTCAGATGGGTTGTCCACTGGAATCTGCGTGGTCCTCAGATGGGTTGTCTACTGGAAACTGCGCGGTCCTCAGATTGGTTGTCCACTGCAAACTGCATGGTCCTCAGGTGGGTTTCCACTGGAAACTGCGTGGTCCTCAGGTGGGTTGTCCACTGGATACTGCGTGGTCCTCAGGTGGGTTGTCCACTGGAAACTGCGTGGTCCTCAGGTGGGTTGTCCACTGGAAACTGCGTGGTCCTCAGGTGGGTTGTCCACTGGATACTGCGTGGTCCTCATGTGGGTTGTCCACTGGAAACAGCGTGGTCCACCTCGTGGTCCTCAGGTGGGTTGTCCACTGGAAACTGCGTGGTCCCCTCAGGTGGGTTGTCCACTGGAAACTGCGTGGTCCTCAGGTGGGTTGTCCACTGGAAACTGCGTGGTCCTCAGGTGGGTTGTCCACTGGAAACTGCGTGGTCCTCAGGTGGGTTGTCCACTGGAAACTGCGTGGTCCTCAGGTGGGTTGTCCACTGGAAACTGCGTGGTCCTCAGATGGGTTGGACTGCGGTATTTCTTGACTGCCAGGATCTTTTCATGATCTTGACATCTTATGTGAACCACAGGGTTAAAATGCTTATTTTTTTTCTCTGCTTTTTGTATTCTACACTGCCATTTGTGCTTTGAAACTGTCTTTTCCAATAAGGACCTCCCTTACCATGATGTTGTTTTCCATCCCCAGTGCACCCTTTTTCATAAAAAAAAAGTTGAACTTAAAAGAAAAAATATATATAGCTTAATTTTATTTTTGGGCTAAAGTCTGCTTTGAACATGTCCCCTATTTCATCCAACTGTATTCCGTGCAAAGCCATTGCACAGAGCAGGTGAGTATGACATGTTTATTATTTGTAAACCTGCTTTTTTTTTTTAATCACTTTAATAGAGAAAGGATGGTAAATGGATGCAATATGTAAGACACAAGCAGGTTGATTTTTTTATTTTTTTTTCTTGTGGATGTTGATTCCAAACGGAGGTTGTGATATTTATGGCATATTCTCGCCTACTTCTGTTGTTACAGCACTGAGTGTAATGTTTCTTCATGGAACTTCTAGGCATTGTTCAAAGCTGGTTCAAGCCAGTGGTTTGAAACCTACAATGTATATGGACTCCCAATTCTCTACCAATTACCAAGAGTCTGGTCAAATGTTACATTGAGCAAGTTTGGTCACACCCATGAACTTGGCCTCCTAAAATGCCCATTGCAAGGTGACCTTCTAGAAGAATTGATTCATTAGAGGCTTTTAGTGTACTGGAGCCTAGAGCTTTGTTCACATTGGGATTGGGAAGGTGAATCACCAAAAGCTTGTTATGTTAATATTTTTATAATGGAGGTACTTGACAAAGTTGCCATATTCCAGTCTTATTTTTCATCTGTTTCCATCCTAGCTGTGACTCCATGTGAATATTGCCGAAGAAAAGACATGGCCCAGAATGTTGTGTGTGGTACACCAAAGTGCGATGAGGGCTGGCATCACATGGCTAAAAAGATATTAAATCTAACCCTGGAGGTCATCTACTTGCTGACTGGTGAGGTGAGGAGGATTCTGGGAGGTCACATGATGCCACTCATCTCTATTAATAAAACACAGACCTGACTGGAGAGGTGAGGAGGATTCTGGGAGGTCACATGACATCATTCTTATCTCTATTAATAAAACACAGACCTGACCAGAGAGGTGAGGAGGATTCTGGGAGGTCACATGACATCACTCATCTCTATTAATAAAACACAGACCTGACCGGAGAGGTGAGGAGGATTCTGGGAGGTCACATGAAATCACTCATCTCTATTAATAAAACACAGACCTGACCGAAGAGGTTAGGAGGATACTGGGAGGTCACATGACTTCACTGTTATCTCTATTAGTAAAACACAGACCTGACCAGAGAGGTGAGGAGGATTCTGGGAGGTCACATGACATCACTCTTATTTCTATTAATAAACCACAGACCTGACCGAAGAGGTGAGGAGGATACTGGGAGGTCACATGAAATCACTGTTATCTCTATTAGTAAACCACAGACCTGACCGGAGAGGTGAGGAGGATTCTGGGAGGTCACATGACATCACTCTTATCTCTATTAATAAAACACAGACCTGACCAGAGAGATGAGGATTCTGGGAGGTCACATGACATCACTCTTATCTCTTATCAATAAAACACAGACCTGACCGGAGAGATGAGGATTCTGGGAGGTCACATGACATCACTCTTATCTCTATTAATAAAACACAGACCTGACCGAAGAGGTTAGGAGTAGAGATGAGCGAATTATTCAAAAATTCGATTTGGCGAATTCGCGGAATAAATTCGATTCGAGTCGAATATATTTGCTGCGAATTTAACTTATAAAAAGGGTGTTTCTAGGCTTCAGAGAGCCTTTATATTAGTGCAGAACACTGTACCTTTAATTTAAATGCCCTTGGAGTCTGCTGGGGAAGAGAAATAATACTGTCAGTCAGTATGACATGCAGATGAGTGCCGTCGATCTTAGAATCACCACACACTTCACTCATTTGGGCAGTCACGGGGCCAAAACCAGAGTGTGGAGCCACAGTGTGGCGGTGGAGGCAGCAGCAATGGGAGGGCCATACAGCACCCTATGACAAAAATGGAACCCACCAGCAGTGTGAGGAGACCTGAAAGTGGCACATGGCAGAGAGTGTGGCGATGGAGACAGCAGCAATGGGAGGCCGTACAGGGACCCATGACACACTCTGGACCTGGCAGCAGCATGAGGAGGCGGTACAGGGGCCCATGACAGATTACGGGCCTGGCAGCAGCAGCATGAGGAGTCGGTACGGGGGCCCATGGCAGATTACGGGCCTGGCAGCAGCAATGGAAGGCCATACAGCACCCTTTGACAAAATGGAACCCACCAGCAGTGTGAGGAGACCTGAAAGTGGCACATGTCAGAGTGTGGCGATGGAGACAGCAGCAATGGGAGGCCGTACAGGGACCCATGACACACTCTGGACCTGGCAGCAGCATGAGGAGGCGGTACAGGGGCCCATGACAGATTACGGGCCTGGCAGCAGCATGAGGAGTCGGTACGGGGGCCCATGGCAGATTACGGGCCTGGCAGCAGCAATGGGAGGCCGTACAGGGACCCATGACACACTCTGGACCTGGCAGCAGCATGAGGAGGCGGTACAGGGGCCCATGACAGATTACGGGCCTGGCAGCAGCATGAGGAGTCGGTACGGGGGCCCATGGCAGATTACGGGCCTGGCAGCAGCAATGGGAGGCCCGTAATCTGCCAGCACCCTATGACAAAATGGAACCCACCAGCAGTGTGCGGAGACCTGAAAGTGGCACATGTCAGAGTGTGGCGATGGAGACAGCAGCAATGGGAGGCCGTACAGGGACCCATGACACACTCTGGAACTGGCAGCAGCATGAGGAGGCGGTACAGGGGCCATGACAGATTACGGGCCTGGCAGCAGTATGAGGAGTCGGTACGGGGGCCCATGGCAGATTACGGGCCTGGCAGCAGCAATGGGAGGCCCGTAATCTGCCAGCACCCTATGACAAAATGGAACCCACCAGCAGTGTGAGGAGACCTGAAAGTGGCACATGGCAGAGTGTGGCGATGGAGACAGCAGCAATGGGAGGCCGTACAGGGACCCATGACACACTCTGGACCTGGCAGCAGCATGAGGAGGCGGTACAGGGGCCCATGACAGATTACGGGCCTGGCAGCAGCATGAGGAGTCGGTACGGGGGGCCCATGGCAGATTACGGGCCTGGCAGCAGCAATGGGAGGCCCGTAATCTGCCAGCACCCTATGACAAAATGGAACCCACCAGCAGTGTGAGGAGACCTGAAAGTGGCACATGGCAGAGTGTGGCGATGGAGACAGCAGCAATGGGAGGCCGTACAGGGACCCATGACACACTCTGGACCTGGCAGCAGCATGAGGAGGCGGTACAGGGGCCCATGACAGATTAAGGGCCTGGCAGCAGCATGAGGAGTCGGTACGGGGGCCCATGGCAGATTACGGGCCTGGCAGCAGCAATGGGAGGCCCGTAATCTGCCAGCACCCTATGACAAAATGGAACCCACCAGCAGTGTGAGGGAGAGACCTGAAAGTGGCACATGGCAGAGTGTGGCGATGGAGACAGCAGCAATGGGAGGCCGTACAGGGACCCATGACACACTCTGGACCTGGCAGCAGCATGAGGAGGCGGTACAGGGGCCCATTACAGATTACGGGCCTGGCAGCAGCAATGGGAGGCCCGTAATCTGCCAGCACCCTATGACAAAATGGAAACCCACCAGCAGTGTGAGGAGACCTGAAAGTGGCACATGGCAGAGTGTGGCGATGGAGACAGCAGCAATGGGAGGCCGTACAGGGACCCATGACACACTCTGGACCTGGCAGCAGCATGAGGAGGCGGTACAGGGGCCCATGACAGATTACGGGCCTGGCAGCAGCAATGGGAGGCCCGTAATCTGCCAGCACCCTATGACAAAATGGAACCCACCAGCAGTGTGAGGAGACCTGAAAGTGGCACATGGCAGAGTGTGGCGATGGAGACAGCAGCAATGGGAGGCCGTACAGGGACCCATGACACACTCTGGACCTGGCAGCAGCATGAGGAGGCGGTACAGGGGCCCATGACAGATTACGGGCCTGGCAGCAGCATGAGGAGTCGGTACGGGGGCCCATGGCAGATTACGGGCCTGGCAGCAGCAATGGGAGGCCCGTAATCTGCCAGCACCCTATGACAAAATGGAACCCACCAGCAGTGTGAGGAGACCTGAAAGTGGCACATGGCAGAGTGTGGCGATGGAGACAGCAGCAATGGGAGGCCGTACAGGGACCCATGACACACTCTGGACCTGGCAGCAGCCAGCATGAGGAGTCGGTACGGGGGCCCCATGGCAGATTACGGGCCTGGCAGCAGCAATGGGAGGCCCGTAATCTGCCAGCACCCTATGACAAAATAGAACCCACCAGCAGTGTGAGGAGACCTGAAAGTGGCACATGGCAGAGTGTAGCGATGGAGACAGCAGCAATGGGAGGCCGTACAGGGACCCATGACACACTCTGGACCTGGCAGCAGCATGAGGAGGCGGTACAGGGGCCCTTGACAGATTACTGGCCTGGCAGCAGCATGAGGAGTCGGTACGGGGGCCCATGGCAGATTACGTGCCTGGCAGCAGCAATGGGAGGCCCGTAATCTGCCAGCACCCTATGACAAAATGGAACCCACCAGCAGTGTGAGGAGACCTGAAAGTGGCACATGGCAGAGTGTGGCGATGGAGACAGCAGCAATGGGAGGCCGTACAGGGACCCATGACACACTCTGGACCTGGCAGCAGCATGAGGAGGTGGCGGTACAGGGGCCATGACAGATTACGGGCCTGGCAGCAGCATGAGGAGTCGGTACGGGGGCCCATGGCAGATTACGGGCCTGGCAGCGGCAATGGGAGGCCCGTAATCTGCCAGCACCCTATGACAAAATGGAACCCACCAGCAGTGTGAGGAGACCTGAAAGTGGCACATGTCAGAGTGTGGCGATGGAGACAGCAGCAATGGGAGGCCGTACAGGGACCCATGACACACTCTGGACCTGGCAGCAGCATGAGGAGGCGGTACAGGGGCCCATGACAGATTACGGGCCTGGCAGCAGCATGAGGAGTCGGTACGGGGGCCCATGGCAGATTACGGGCCTGGCAGATGACGACGAGGCTGCCAAGTGCGATCAGCCTCATCATCATCAATTAGGGTCTCCGCCTCACTACTAGCCCCCTCGGCTGCGTGTGGGTCAGGAGACAGACCTGTCTCTAGACCGGCTACCGAGCCACTCTCCTCGCCAGTACTTCTTCGCCTGGCTGCTGAAGAGGCGGATGTCTCCCCCCGTTCCTGACCGCCCTCTGTTAGCTCTTCCTCACTGTACAGTGGGGCTGAGCCCACAGCATGCGATACTTCGCTTGGTGAGGGAACACCAAAGGACAGGGACAGGTAGAGGACACGTGATTTCAGTGGGCTTGCTGGGCCATGCCAACTAACGGTTGTGTCTGACGTACCCACCGACCGTTGGCTGTAGGTGTCAGAGGTGACCTGGGAAGAGGAAGACGACCGAGCCAACCAATCGATGACGGAAGGGTTGTCGGTGGAGACACGACCGCTGGATGACACCGGGAGCACTGGCCTCTGGCTGCGACTAGTGCTGCCTCGACCCCTTCCTCCGCTGCCACGTCTGCTCGCTCCTGAAACATTGCCTCCTCTGCCACTCCTCTGCGTGTTGTCTGACATACTCTTTAATTCAACGATTCTGTGTCCCTGAGTAACGATTCTGTGTCCCTGAGTAACAATTCTGTGTCCCTGAGTAACAATTCTGTGTCCCTCAGTAACGATTCTTTGTCCCTCAGTAACGATTCTGTATCCCTGAGTAACGATTCTGTGTCCCTGAGTAACAATTCTGTGTCTGTCCCTGAGTAACAATTCTGTGTCCCTGAATAACAATTCTGTGTCCCTGAGTAACAATTCTGTGTCCCTCAGTAACGATTCTGTGTCCCTGAGTAACGATTCTGTCAGGGCTCCCAGGTATGACCAGAGGTGTGTGACTGAAGCAGGGAAACGCAGACCTCAGATATGTTATAAACAATATAATTTATTAACACTAACAGTACAAACATAAACGCAGTGCAATGCTAAACATAATACAGTGCAAACAAACCAAACCAAACCACCCACAGATAACAGTATATACAAGCAAGCGTCGTCAGGCAGGCCGGGTCAATATCAATTGGGCAGGTAGGTACAGGGGGAGCAAGCGGAGAATGGTCGGGGGTCACAGGCCAGGTTCAGCAGGTAGCAAGCAGCATAGTACAGAGGGTCAGGCAGAGGGATGGTCCGGGTCACAAGCCAGGGATCAGAACAGGTAGCAAGCAGCGTAGTACAGAGGGTCAGACAGAGGGATGGTCAGGGTCACAAGCCAGGATCAGAGCAGGAGAAGTCAGCAAAGGAACAGAAACAGGATGCAGGACAGATACAGGGCCCAGGACAAACACAACACCAAGGCAGAGTCTGCAAGTCTGGCCATCCCTTAAATACCCCAGCATCATCAGTTCCAGGTGTTAGCTGGCTGAAAGGTTGAGTCTCTGATTGCTGGGAGCACCCGCTGGCCAGCCCTGGTACTGCAGATCAAAAGGCAGGTGAGTCCCACCATTGCTGGCCAGTCCATTCCTAACAGTACCCCCCCCTCAAGGAGCGGCCTCAGGACGCTCCAAACAGTCCTAGCTGGGCAAAATGTTCCACCGCCCCGGGTCTGGCAACTGGCGGGATATCAAAGACTGGCACACCGGGCAGGACTCCAGGCAGCGGCACACCGGGCTGGACTCCGGGCAGAGGCACATCGAGCAGAGGCACACCGGGCAGAGGCACACCGGGCTGGACTCCGGGCAGAGGCACATCGGGCAGAGGCACATCGGGCAGGACTCCGGGCAGAGGCACATCGGGCAGAGGCACATCAGGCAGGACTCCAGGCAGAGGCACATCGGGCAGAGGCACATCAGGCAGGACTCCAGGCAGAGGCACATCGGGCAGAACTCCAGGCAGAGGCACATCGGGCAGGATTCCGGGCAGAGGCACATCAGGGCAGAGGCAGGCAGGACTCCAGGCAGAGGCACATCGGGCAGGACTCCAGGCAGAGGCACATCGGATTACCAGGCGGAGCAGCAGGCACCGGGCCCCCCGGGCGGAGCAGCAGGCACCGGGCCCCCGGGCGGAGCAGCAGGCACCGGGCCCCCGGGCGGAGCAGCAGGCACCGGGCCCCCGGGCGGGCAGCAGGCACCGGGCCCCCGGGCGGGGCACAGGCACCGGGCCCCCGGGCGGATCAGCAGGCACCGGGCCCCCGGGCGGAGCGACAGGCACCGGGCCCCCGGGCGGGGCGACAGGCACCGGGGCCCCCGGGCGGGGCGACAGGCACCGGGCCCCCAGGCGGGGCGACAGGCACCGGGCCCCCAGGCGGGGCGACAGGCATCGTGCCCCCAGGCGGGGCGACAGGCATCGTGCCCCCCAGGCGGGGCGACAGGTCTCGGGCCCTCAGGCGGAGCGGCGGGGCGCCGGACCCCCAGGTGGAGCGACAGGTCTCGGGCCCTCAGGCGGAGCGGCGGGCGCCGGACCCCCAGGTGGGAGCGACAGGTCTCGGGCCCTCAGGCGGAGCGGCGGGCGCCGGACCCCCAGGCGGAGCGACAGGTCTCGGGCCCTCAGGCGGAGCGGCGGGCGCTGGACCCCCAGGCGGAGCGACAGGTCTCGGGCCCTCAGGCGGAGCGGCGGCGCCGGACCCCCAGGCGGAGCGCGACAGGTCTCGGGCCCTCAGGCGGAGCGGCGGGCGCCGGACCCCCAGGAGGAGCGACAGGTCTCGGGCCCTCAGGCGGAGCGGCGGGCGCCGGACCCCCAGGCGGAGCGACAGGTCTGGGCCCTCAGGCGGAGCGGCCGGCGCCGGACCCCCAGGAGGAGCGACAGGTCTCGGGCCCTCAGGCGGAGCGGCGGGCGCCGGACCCCCAGGTGGAGCGACAGGTCTCGGGCCCTCAGGCGGAGCGGCGGGCGCCGGACCCCCAGGCGGAGCGACAGGTCTCGGGCCCTCAGGCGGAGCGGCGGGCGCCGGACCCCCAGGTGGAGCGACAGGTCTCGGGCCCTCAGGCGGAGCGGCGGGCGCCGGACCCCCAGGTGGAGCGACAGGTCTCGGGCCCTCAGGCGGAGCGGCGGGCGCCGGACCCCCAGGAGGAGCGACAGGTCTCGGGCCCTCAGGCGGAGCGGCGGGCGCCGGACCCCCAGGTGGAGCGACAGGTCTCGGGCCCTCAGGCGGAGCGGCGGGCGCCGGACCCCCAGGAGGGAGCGACAGGTCTCGGGCCCTCAGGCGGAGCGGCGGGCGCCGGACCCCCAGGTGGAGCGACAGGTCTCGGGCCCTCAGGGCGGGGCGGACGGGCGCAGGTCTCGGGCCCCCAGGCGGAGCGGCGGGCGCTGGACCCCCAAGCGGAGCAACAGGTCTCGGGCCCCCAGGCGGAGCGGCGGGCACCGGACACCCAGGGACGACAGTGGGCTCCGAGTCAACTGGTATGACCGCAGGCACTGGGCAGACATTGGATGGTCAGGCTGGACAGCGGGCATCGGGTCACCAGGCATCAGGTCTCGGGCATTTGGCTCGACAGCGGGCACCGCGTCATCTGGCAAGGCAGTGGGCTCCGAGTCAACTGGTATGACCGCGGGCACTGGGTCAGACATTGGATCGTCTGACCGGACAGCGGGCATCGGGTCACCAGGCATCAAGTCATTTGGCTCGACAGTGAGCACCGCGTCATCTGGCAAGGCAGTGGGCTCCGAGTCAACTGGCATGACCGCGGGCACCGGGGCAGACATTGAATCGTCTGGCTGGACAGCGGGCATCGGGTCACCAGGCATCAGGTCATTTGGCTCGACCGCGGGCACCGCGTCATCTGGCAAGGCAGTGGGCTCCGAGTCAACTGGTATGACCCGCGGGCACTGGGTCAGACATTGGATCGTCTGACTGGACAGCGGGCATCGGGTCACCAGGCATCAGGTCATTTGGCTCGACAGCGGGCACCGCGTCATCTGGCAAGGCAGTGGTCTCCGAGTCAACAGACACGACAGTGGGCACCGGGTCATCAGGTACCGGATTGTCTGGCTCGACAGCGGGCATCGGGTCATCAGGTATGACAGCGGACACTAGGTCACCAGGCATCAGGTCATTTGGCTTGCCAGCGGGCACCGCATCATCTGGCAAGGCAGTGGGTACCGAGTCACCAGGTACGACAGCGGGCTCTGAGTCAATTGGCACGACAGCGGGCACCGGATCAGGTACCGGATCATCTGGATCAACAGCGGGCATCGAATCAACTGGCCTAATAGGATCGTCAGGCTGGATCAGTTCATCATGCTGGGTAGAGGCATTAGGCCGAGTAGAGGCTTCAGGCCGAGTAGAGGCATCAGGCCGAGTACAGGCATCAGGCCGAGTACAGGCATCAGGCCGAGGAGAGGCTTCAGGCCGAGGAGAGGCTTCAGGCCGCGTAGAGGCTTCAGGCCGCGTAGAGGCTTCAGGCCGAGTAGAGGGCTTCAGGCTGCGTACAGGCATCAGTCTGAACCACGGAAGGCAGGCTCACCGGTTTGGATACTGGCAGGATGGTATTGGTTGGAAAGAATTTTCGCTTTTTTCTGGTTTTAACTACTGGAGCACTGCAAGTAAACGCAGGTCTGCAAACGAATGGAGCAGCTGGAGACAGAGAAGAACTGGAGGATGGAACAGGAGAGGGAGCAGTTGCTACAGAGGGCTTTTTTACAGGGTTAAAGGCAGGATAGGTGCAGCGAGTGTGGAACAGGGTACTGACATGCGGTAGATAGCCAAGTATACTGGGCTGTAACTGGAGGAGCTGGTGGGAATACAGGAGTAGAGTTAGAAGCAGGACTGGGTCTTTGTAAGCTGACTGAGGCTGGGTGCAACAAGTCTGTCCATGTCTGCAGTATGGGTTGAACAAAGCTGAGCTTACACAAAGCCTGTCTGGTCAATGACTGCACTGCGTTTATACAATCTCTCAGTGTCTGTGGTGAACATGTGGAATAACGCTCCAGAAAGTAACCCACATCATCCTCTAATAACCACACCAGGGACTCTACCTGGTCTGCACTAAATGGTG